TTCGTCAAGCATCGAGAACCCCTCATCCTCCGACATTGTTCCCTTCTAAGCGGCGGGTAGACGTTTCGGATTCAAAACGGGAGAACAAAATAAGTGACTTTCACACCAGCACTAAGCTAGGATGATGCATTATTACTGCTAACTACACGCACTATGTGCGCCTTGACGTGGAAGAGCAAGCACACTATCAAGTCAAAAGCCATACGAAGTCAAATGACTGTAAAGGTCCACGTCGTGAAGGTAGCGCCGAGCGCTTGAGAGGAGAGAGTTTGTCACTTGACTACAAACGGGCGCTGAGGTTGTCCGGGGTTGACACCAGCACCGACACATCGCGGCATGAGCGATCGCCATTGTCCATGGGGCTCTTGGCCACAATATCCAGAGCCTTCTTCTTCTGTTGCACAGCGTAGATGAAGCCACCAGAGGCGATGCCAGCCACACAACCACCGATCACGAAAATGTAGGTGAGCGATGACGTGCTGTTGTCCGACGACTTGGTCGTCACTTCCATAGCCCCGTCCGAGTCGTTAGAGTTCGTCGTAGTCTTACCGGTGGATTGCACAGTGGAATTCGTCGACGTCGTGGTGGATTCGGTAGCGTCACCAGCAGACTCCACACCAGCATTACCTGCTGAGCCGGCACTGGCACTATCACTCGAGCTGCTCAATGTGAAGTTGCCAGCGTAGTTCTGAGACTGAACTTGAATTCCAGTACTACCCGAAGCCGAAGCCGAACTCGAGACCGGCGCTTCCGTTGGCGTCGGAGTCGGCGTGGCCGTTGGTGTGGCAGTGGTCGGTGTCGGAGTAGCTGTAGTAGGCGTGGGTGTAGGTATGCTTGAGGTGCTGGAGGCCGAAGTGCTGCTAGTGCTAGCGCCACTGCCACCGGGGCAGAACGTCACTTCAAAGTTCGTGCCTTTCGGGCATGTATGTGTCTTAGTGTCGTCGCTCGGGTACTGATAGGCATCCGCACATCCGTCGGCCTCGCAGGTCAGTACCTTGCACGTATCCTCACCGACATTATCCTGCGGAGTGATTTGCATGGCTGTATTGAAACCCGTTTTGCCGGTCTGAGCCTGGCAGGCGCTCAAACTCGTGCAGCTACCAGGGTCAGGCGGAATGATACTGATATCATACCAAGGCGTACCGTCGGAGTCCACAGAGATTTCGGCCACTGCAATATGAAGCAAGAAGTCAGTATTAATATTCGGTGGGCTCACCCGGATGGCACAGCGTACAAGTAGCTTCATCGGAGACCCCATTGCGGAACATGCCCACGTATCCGTTTGCCAGTGTGCGCGTGGTGGAGCTACCAGAGGCAAGCGTCGTGGTTGCGCTGTTGTCATACAGCGCGACGGACTCGGAGCAACTATTAGAGATGGTTACGGAGACCGACGCCTGCACGGCGACGAAGTAGACTGAGAGCCCAGCCGCGGCCAATGCGAAGCGGAGCATTGCAAAGCGGTAGCAACCGGAGCTCTATGATAATATCGGCGACCTGGGGCGCGCGATAGCTGTTTCTTTCAACAGAGGGAAAAAAAGCAAAGTGAGGCATGCGTGGCAGCCGTGCTCCATGTGGTAGTGCCGATATATGTACATGTAGAAACCAAGCCACATTGTCCTAACGCCGACCACGGCAAAATCGAGCCAAAAGATAGGTGGGGAGCTCTGATGCGCTTCGCATGTTGCAATTCGAATCAAGGTGCTCGGATTGGCTACCGAAGCGTCACGGACCAATCAGCGATCTGCAATTCTGGCTACCCCTTACCCTGAAGACGGAGGTGAGCCGGTCCCATCACCGTTGGTGTGACTCACTGGCAAGTTCGAGTCCGCTGCAAATCCTGATCGACGACATTAACAAAGAGAGTTAAGTACGACAAGATCGACTTTATTCTCATTTGCCAGTTTGAACGCGCAGAGGTAAAGCAGTAGCGGGATTGACCGCCTCCATTTTCACATTACTGCTTGTCGGGAATGGATATCAGAGTTCAAAGGCTACTGTGCTCAGTAACGCGATATACCTGAAAAACTTTCACCTTAGTGCAAAGTGACTGAACCGCCGGAGCTTCGAGGAACTCATTAAACGGCGGTGCCAACTTGAAAGCGGGTGGTTGTAGCTTCCTGGGTTTAATGGCCGACATCAAGATAGCCCAGCTCCACGCAGGCCGTAAATGGTTGTTGAAGAGCATTGCACGCTCTCACGATTCGCGAGTAAGGCCTGATTCTCTCAAAAGCATGTGCACCACACTTGTTTAATGTTCCGGACACAAAGTATATCAATCCCCGCACACCGCCAGCCATTGTTGTGTACGTACCATGGCCAGCTCAGCCCCCACGTCCACGGGCCTCGAGAGTCCGGAGGCGCTCGCGCGTCTGAACGCCGCCATCATGGGCGAGCGCAACCCTCGTGGTATCCCGTCTGCTGTCTTCGTGGTGCGTTTCGTGCTCTTCAACCCCTCAAAACTGCATCAATCTAATATATTTGGCTCTTAGGATTCTGTGGACACCTTCATGGATGCATGCGGCGTCAAAAACATCGAGCCGCTCGTCGGGGCGCTGCAACAGATGTACAGCAAGTACAAATTCATGGAGACGAGTCTCCAGAAGAACCGCGAGACGTTTAAGCGCAAGATCCCGGATACCCAGAAGGACTTGAACATGGTGCGCCACCTTATCGCCAAGCGGGACGAGGGCGAGACGCTGCAGACGCAGTTCAATCTGTCCGACAATGTGTACGCTAAGGCCTCAGTGGACTGCAGTGTGGGCAAGGTCTGCATCTGGCTGGGAGCCCAGATCATGGTCGAGTATCCGTAC